TGAAAATCATTCCAGGCACCTGTGCATGCATACCCAAAATCCCCAGAGGAGAATAGAGGAGGAAGGACTATTGCATGGCCGTCCCCACTGGGGGATGAGTTCTCACTTTCCCTCTTTCTGTCTCTCTCCAGTGAGCACACGCTCCCTATGGCAAGAAACAAACAAACAAACCAAAAAAAAAAAACAAAAAAGTTAAGTGTTTCTTGATTTTGAACATCATACATACTAGTTATAACAGACTTCAAGAATATGGAAAACCAGGGCTAGCAGATGGCATAATAGTTATGTTTCTGGACTTGCACATGGCCAACTACTGTTTTATTCCCAGACCTAGTGACTTGAAACTCATGCTGGACATGTGTGTGTGCATGCTCAAGATTCAGGGAGGAGAATGGAGGAGAAGGGATTGTAGCGTGGCTGTCCTCCCTATGGGTTGATTTCTCACTGTCTCTGGTGAGAGTATGCACTCTATGGCAAATACCTCCAAAAAATAATAAAAAGAAAAATACATGAAAAACCTTTCTTTAAATTGCCCATAGTTCCATTAGCCAAAGAACTTCTGAATGTTTTGCTGTTTCTAGTAATTTTTTACACAGCATTTTATTTGTTCATTTCCTTATGGTGTTTTTATATGATAGGTTCTTTTATGTAGCATGTAAAACACTGTAACCCTTTTCAGCTGTCGTTATAACATGTATTTTTCACAATACAGATTCTTAACAAAGTGCTTTTCAGTGGCCTCTGCACTGATTGAAAAATACATGAAAAGTTCAGTCATGGTGACACAGTGGTAGCACATCACTCTGCAGAGCTGGAAGCAATATGGAAGATTGAGGTTCAGTTCCTGAGTGGATCCATGTAGGCCAGGCAGGTGCACGTATATGTGTGCTTGTGTGCTCATCTGTCATTCCAGATGGCTAAAAGGCTTTGGGGTGTAGATTGCAGTGTAGGACCCTGTTGAGGGTGCTTGTCTCTTTCTTTATGTCCCTCTTTTCTGGAAGAAATGAACACATCAACTTTGAAAACAAAAGGGATTAAAAAGAAAAGGAAAACACATGAAAAATATACTGGAGAGTAAAACCAATGTGGAAACTTTTCCATGAAATAAATGTAATCTGGAGAGGGAAGATAATGAGAAGTTAGACTCCTACTCCTGGACAAGTGTAACTTAAGAGTGCCACAAGAATAGACATTTTGCATGGAACTGTAATAGAATTAAACTTTATAAATCCTCACACAGAGGGGCCAGAACGTGACGTAGTGGTTAAAGTGATGGACTCCCACATGGCTGACTGCGGTTCAGGTCCTGGACCTGGCAGCTTGCTTTCTCATTTTCCCTTTTTCTCTCTCTGTCTCTTTGGTGAGTGCACATACCCTATAGCAAATCAAAATAAATAATAATTCTTGAGGAAAAAAAACCTTCACACAGAACAGTAAAAGATGGGTGAGTAAAAGTATTGAATTTGTAGAGAATCCGTTGGAAAGATCACAAGCCATGAGAAGTGTTAAAGTAAATTCCTTGAACTGTAACATCACTTAAAGTCTTTAAGACTCTTTCATGCTCCCTTAGGCTTGCATCCAGAGTCAAGATCTTACTACTCTGCTTTTCCTCAGCCTAGTTCATTCACTTCCACGGCTGCTGGGTGTAGTAACTGGCTTGTAAAGTAATCCCTAGGTGGTGGAAGATTTAACACCCTGGGCTGCAAGCTATAGTGAGTCCTAGAATCACTCCCAGGATATATTTCACTTTGATTCTAAATCAGAAGTGTCATTTAGCCCTGAATTATTTGTACTGGGAAATGATGGCACATAGTATGTGTGTGACACAGGAAGGTATCTATATAAATGATTCTCAACTACAGAGCCTATTATTTATTAAATCTATATATATTTTGTGTGCTTTATTGTGAAGTAAAACAATTATATATGTTTGTTTTACAGAGGTTTTTTGCCCAGAAAATTAAAAGTGAATGACATTATCACCCTTCCCCCCCACTCCCTAAACAGAAGCAATCTTTGCAAGTGTAACCTTCTTGGCCTTTATGATATACGTTAGTAATAACATTTGATGAGATTTTAGATTATTTCCCATCTATTTTGAAGAAAAGTGAAGAACTCTGCCATTCTGATAAATTAATGATTTTGCATAGGAACAGCAGACACTCTTGGCCTGAGAGCTTTTATTTTATTTTATTTATATTTTATTATTTTTTTGGAGAGGTTTTTGCTATAGGGCAAAGACAGAGAGACAGAGAGACAGAAAGACAGAGAGAGACAGAGAGACAGAAAGTGAGAAATCACCTCCTGGGGAGATGGCCCCCCCGCAATCCCTTCTCCTCCATTCCCCTCTCGGGATCTTGGGCATGCATGCACACATGCCTGGTGTGAGTTTAAGCCACCAAGTCCAGGACTCGAACTGCAGTCAACTACATGGTAGTCCAGTGACATAGCCATTATGCCAACTGATGGTTCCAAGGCTTGACAGCTTTTAATTAACCATACTCTGTTTCACTCTTTTCAAATTCTTTCACAGTTTTAAATTTCTGACTGTGATTTAGAATGCTATGCTGAGTGAAAAACGTTCAAAGAGTATTAACAGTTAGTCATCTGTGCCTACCTTGTCCAGCGGGAAAGGAGAGAGGTCAGATATTTGGCAGTGTATCTTGAGCTTTGCTCTGTGTAGAGCTGGGTGCTGTTGGAGGTATCTAAGATGTATGAAGCATGATTGTAAACAAATTTTGTTGTCCTTGTTCACAGAGAAGGTGATATAAATAGAAATGCACATACTTTGTGGCAGTAATGTCAAAATGATAATGCTTTTTTTAATTAATCAGATTTCAGTTTATGTATGAACCTATCCCTGCATTGTCTATTCTGTCCCATTATTTATATAAAGGGTCTTCAAAAGTTTATAGAGGGGGACCAGCAGTTAGCATAATGGCTATGTTGCTGAACTCCCATGTAGCTGACCGCGGTTCGAATCCTGGACCCAGTGGGTTAAGCTCATGCCAGGTGCGTGTGCGTGTGTGACCAAGATCCCGAGAGGAGAATGAAGGAGAAGGGATTTCAGTGTGGCCATCCCCCCTGGGGGGTGATTTCTCGCTTTCTGTCTCTCTGTCTCTCTCTGTCTTTCTGGTGAGCGCACGCACCTTATAGCAAAAACCTCTTCAAAAAAATTTATAGAAAATGCATATTATGAAAAAAGTATGCATGGATTTCAAATTTTTTGCACCAAAATAAACTTGTGCTTTACTTCCATTTTCCACCAACTTTTTGAAGTCCCCTTGAATGTCTTGCACCATTATCTATTAGCCTAAATACTATCACTTTATAATAAGCCTGATGTCTAGTAAGGCATGTCCTTTTACACTGTTGTTTTTCAAAATTATTGTGGCTATTTCTGGCTCACTTCTCAGAGGAATTTTGTAATTAAATTACAAAGTTAAATAGAAAAACAAAATAAAACAGAAAGTCCAGTGAATTTTGGTCAGAATTATGTTAATTATGTGGATTAGCTGGGGGTCATTGGAAAAATCATAATATATTTTTCTATGCAAAAATGCATCATGACTGTTCCGATGAGCCAATATTTAGATTCTTTGTTGCGTTCCAGTAAAGCTTTGTTATGTTCTGTGTAATGTTTCTGCTTGTATTTCTTAAATTAACTACTAGATATTGAATAGTATTTTTTTCTATGTGAAGAAATGTATAAATGTTATTTAAAATATGAAAAAAGTCATTTGAATAATTAGAGAGTTAAGCTTTTCTTGATGAAAAATTTAATGCCATAAAGATGCATAATGTAGTTTTACTGCTTTTGGAGTGTTCTTTTTTGTTTTTGTTATTTTGCCAGAGGACATGAGCACTCACTGGAGAGAGACAGAGAGAGAGAAAGCAAAAAACCACCCACAATGGGCATGACCATGCTGCAGTCTCTTTTCCATCTTCCTCCTCTCAGGATTTTGGGCATGCATATACACATGCCCAATGTGTTTTTCAAGCTGCTGGGTCCGGGACTCAAATTGCACTATTGGCCATATGGGATCCCACTGTCCTAACCACCAGGCCATGGGCTGGCCTACATCATGTCATTTTAATAATTTATAATCAGATTATTTAAGTTTCCGGAATTTTTTTTTCTTTTGGAGAGGTTTTTGCTATTGGCACATGAGCTCGCCAGAAACAGAGAGAGAGACAGAGAGACAGAAAGAGAGAAATCACCCCCCTGGGGGGGAGGATGGCCACACCACAGTCCCCTTCTCCTCCATTCTCCTCTCGGGATCTTGGGCACTCACACACATGTGCCGGCATGAGTTTCAGCCATCAGATTTGGGACTTGAACTATGGTCGAGTACATGGGAGTCCAGTGACATAGCCATTACGCCAACTGCTGGTCCTAAAGTTTCTGGAATTAAAAATTAATTTTTGTAATGAGTTAGTTTGAAATATTTTCTATTTGAGGTTTCCTCTTTGATCCACAAGTTATTTAGAAATATGTTATTTAATTTCCAAATATTTGGGTATTTTCTAGATATTTGCTTGTTAACTTTTAACTTAATTCTTTGGGGTCAGAGAATATAATTTGTATGATTTTAACACTGTCATTGTATTGAAACTGGTTTTTTTTTTCTTTTTGGAGAAGTTTTTGCTATAGGACACATGCCCTGCCAGAAAGAAAGAGAGAGACAGAAACAGAAAGTGAGAAATCAGCCCCCAGGGGGAATGGCCACGCCACAATCCCTTCTCTGCCATTCTCGCCTCAGGATCTTGGGCATGCATGCAAATGCACCCAACATGAGTTTAAGCCACCTGGTCTGGGACTTGAACTGTGGTCGACTACATGGGAGTCCAGTGACATAGCCATTATGGCTACTGCTGATCTCATTGAAACTGGTGCTATAGGCCAATATATGTTGAATCTTCATGAGTGTTCCATAGCAGTGGAAGGTAATAGGTGTTCCATGGTTGCTTGGATGTGGTGTTCTATAAACATAAAAGGGGACCAGTATACTGGTAGTGGTGTAAGTCTGCAGTATCTTCATTTATTTTCTTTTTACTCCTTCTATTCATTTCTGGGAGAGTAGTGTTGAACTCACTTACTTTTATTTATGTATTTGTTCATTTCTTATCTCAGTTCTGTCAGTTTTTACTTCCTTGTAAAGCTTTGTAAGTAGATGTATACCTACGTAGGCTTGTTAGCTTTTCTTGATTAAGTTGATGATTATGAAATATCCCTCGTTTTCCTAGTAATATTCCTTATACTGAAGTCTATTTTGTCTAATATTAATATAGCCACTCAAGCTTTTTATTACTATATCTGTATAAAATATATGTTTTTATCCTACTTTTAACCTTTTATCATCAGAGCTACATAGTATATATATATATTTGCTATAGGGTGCTTGTGCTCACTAGAGAGAGAGGGAAAGTGAGAAAGACTCCCAAGGGGGATGACCACACCCCAATCATTTCTCCTCCGTTATCTTCTCAGGAGTTTTGGCATGAACGCACACTTACCCAGCATGTTTTTCAAGTGGTCAGGTTCAGGACTCCGAGGGATCCAGCCATCCCAACCACCATGCCACAGGCTGGCCCAGTATATGTTTTTATCCTATTTTTTTTCTTTTCTTTCTTTTTTTTTTTTCTTTCTTTTTATTTTTTAGGTTTTTGCCATAGGGCATGTGCACTCACCAGAGAGAGGAAAAGTGAGAAATTACTCCCCAGGGGGAATGGCCACATCACAATCTGTTCTCCTCCATTCTCCTCTTGGGATTTTGAGCATGCATGCACACCTGCCTGATGTGATTTTTCAAGCTCCTGGGTCCAGGACTCGAACCACGGTTAGCCATGAGTACCTTAACCACCATGCCACCTACTAGCCCTGAGTTTTCATCCTCTTTTAACCTATCTGTGTCTTTATAATTAAGCTTCCTGTAGACATATGTAGTTTGTTCTTTTTTTTTTAATCTAGTTTCAACAATCCCACAGTTTATATCTGTATGTTTAGTCTATTGACAGTTAATAAAATGATTAATTGATTTAAGTCTACCATCTTGCTGTATGTTTCTGTTTATCTTATTTAATCATTGTTACCTTAGTCGTCTTTTTCTGATTTCTTGGATTAAGTGGATATTTAATTACTATTTGACTTTTGTTTCTTCTTTTGATCTATAATCTATATCTCTGTCTTTTATTTGTTGTTCTAGGCAGTTTGTAGTATACATATTTAATTCATGTTAATAAATGGCATGTGGCATGAATTTATATTATGCCACTTCATGAATAATGTAAGAACCTCCTAAGTCGATTTTTTAAAAAAAATTTCCATCCTCTTGTCCTTTGGTGCTATTATTGTCATAGACTTTACTTCAGCATATATTTAAAACGCTACAAGTAGTTTGCTTTTATATTTACTTCCTTTTAAGGAAATTAAGAAAGAAAAACACTCTTTGATATTTATCTCCATGTTAACTATTGCCAGTTCTTTTTATTCCCAGTGCATGTGCTATGTAGCCCTAATAATAACATAGTTGGGCACGCACTCACATGCATTGACACGTTTTTCAAGCTGCTGGGCTGGGAATTGAACCACCTAGTTGGCCATATATGATCCATCTGATTTAATCGCCATGCCACCAGCTGACCCTAGATCATTATTGTACAACATAAGTTCTTTGCCTTCCCCTTTTGGGAATCCTGTATGTTTTAGATTGTCTGATATTATCTCACAGGCTCTGCTCTGCCCTTTTTTCCATCTTTACTCTGCACTCTGGACAGAGCTCAAATGTCCTTCAAATATACTTGAGCTGTGGCTATTTAGTTTTCAGGTCACAGTATGTGTTCTTTCCCTGGTGGTGGTTCTTTGACGGTCTCTGTAGAACTGTAACCTTGCATAGCGTAACTGTTCATCTCAGGATTTAAGAGAATCCATATGTAGATTTCTGGAGTTCATGCAGCCTCCTACCCCCTAGTTCCCTTCTTTCTGGTACTTCCTCACTCTCTTACGCTTATGAAAGAAATAAACTGCAAAAAATTTCATTTTATTTAGGAATTTTGCATCTGGATAATCAGAATTGACTTACAAAATTTTCCTTTCTTAATGTTCTTTTGAGTGACTTCTCTTTGTATCTGTTTTCTGGCATAGTTTGCAAGAGATATAAGGTACCTGTCCTTTAATAAATGCTTGAAAGCATTCATTTGTAAAACAATTGAGCTATTTTGTTCCCGTTTGACTAGGTTATTTTTCTGTGGATACGTTTTAAGCTACCTAATTAATTTCTTTAAATTTATAGAGTTTATTCAGTCCTAGAGGGCTCCATCCTCACAGCAGCACAGGTTTGCATTTTGTGTTCAGTGTGTTTCCAGTGTTTGATGCCTACTTTGAGAGCATTTGATGGATGTTTGCTATATTGTAACTCTTTCTTAAGACATCCGCATTTGAATATCATTGCCCCCTACTTAGAAGCTTCGGCTTTGCTGTAAAGTGTGAGTCTATAATTATATAGTTCAAGGCAGAGGATGCCTGTGATTTCAGGTCTGTTGTTCGTATGTGTAAGATTTCTGTTATGTCAATAATAAATTAAGGTTTTTATCTCCTATGGCATGTACATGCCAAGTACGAAGCTTTAAACCTGCATCTATCTTTGCTTCCCTAGGTGCTCTTGAAGTTAGTGAAAGTTAGATGAGTTTAAGGGTGTGTAATTAAACCTACAAACATTTGACTTCTGGATTAAGTTGTGTAACCACACAGAATGTTTTTGCGAGTTTTACAAATATATTCATTTCTAATGTTATTGTCAAAAATGCTCATTGCAGAATCACCCAATAAAGCAAGTCTTCAACATTTACATAACAAATGAGAAAGTTATTAGTACTTAATGAAATCTTATCTTTAAAAGAAGTAGGCATTCCTTGAGGGCAAGGTGTTGTGTGGTTGCGAATTTTGATTAGTCTTATTATTTTACTATGATTCACCATAGAGTGATTTAGTAATATGTTGCTCTACTTTGATTTCAGAATTCCTCATTTTATCACTGAATAATGGATGAGGATAAGCAAGAAGGAGAGAAAAGGTATGAATTCCTAACTGACTGATATTTCTATCAAAGTCCTCTCCTTTGTCCTCTGTTCTCATTTCACATTTAGCAAAATTCCACTACTTTAGGGAATCCTGATTGACTCAGAAAAATGGGGTCTCTCCAATTTTTTTTCAAGAACCTCTAGCCCTGAGACTTAACAGTTCACATATGTGCCTGACAGCCTTCCCCATCAAACTGGGTCCTCCATGCCTTGCACACTGCCAGAGCTGACACTGTATAAATGGCTAAATAACTGACAGATAATATAGTCCCAGATATGTTTAGTAACCTGTTTTTGAGATTTGGCTTACCTAAAGCTTGAATTAATTTACATTTCAGAAGACAACTTACTTTTGTCAGATCAAACTTCTAAAAGAAATTCAAGTTCACTGATCAAAGATTTTGTCGAAAAATTTAAGTATGATCTGTGGTTTTTTTTAAAGGTTAAAATAAACCAATTATCATTTTTACTGCTCTGCCTTCTCTCTGAGGAACAAAATTGGCTTTGAGAGAACCTCTTAAGTAATTATAGATTACTTAGAATTTTCTTTAATCAGAAGTACTCTTGTCAAAGTAGGTAAGAATATATGGTGGAATAAAGACCCACCATTAAATTCAAAATACTTTGGACTTTATTATGTAATTCTTATGCCACTGTACCAGGTACTTCGCTGAGCTTTGTTCTGGAAGACATGAAGACAGATTAAGGTCCCCAGCCTCAAGGGCCTCACAGAATAAAGGAGATAACATTGGCTTTCATTTCTGTGTTTTAATAATGAAAGTTGTTGTTCTGTGGGTAACCAAGGGACTGCATTTTTGCTCAGATATTGACTCTAACATCTCCCTTTTCTTTCTTTTTATTTCTTCACTTCTGTTGTTCCACTATCTGAATTCCCAGCCCTACCTTTCGCATGAGTAACCTTGATTTCTTGTGGGTTTTTTTTTCCAACTTTAGGAATGTACCCCATAAGTTAAAATGGATACCAAAGGAGCAGCGCAGTTCCTTATTTGCAAGACTACGCACAATGCTGCAAACTCACGGTTATCCCGCAAAAGGAGACAATTGTAGAGTATGGAAGTGTGCTAGTGGCACCTCACAGAACTCAGGTTTGATTTGTGTGACCTGACTGATTCTTACAGCTTTTCGATTGGCTATATTGAAAATTACTTATGGATGGGACAACTGGATCCCTCGCTTTACCTCATACAAATTTCGGGGGGTATTACTGATTAGAGGGTCTCTTAAAGTACCTTCTAATACACAGATATTTTATTTCTCTCCATTCACAAGTTTGTTTATGGTTGATATTTAAAATGTCATTGAGGTTCATACAAAAGTACAACAAGGAAATGAAATTTAATAGAAACATACATGAGAAATAATAATACAGACTCCTGTATCTTAAGCATTTAAAGGTATATGGTAAATGTTGCTAAGGGAAACATGACCCCAAGACTGACTGTAACATAGTGCCTATAAATACTTAGACAGGTTTAACTCAAAACAGCTAAGTGGGCCCTGTCCATAAGCATATAATTGTGCTGTAATAATCTCTCACAAAAGTGAGAGATTAAAAAAGTGTTTTCTAGACTCCATAATACTTTGAGCCATTGATCTAATTCTGTGACCCTCTTCACAGTAAAACTGACTGGAATAATTCTATAGGCTATCTCCACTTCCTCACATTGTGTTCTTTCTTCTATTCACCCCACTGAGGCTGTAAATCTTACCACTCAACTACAACTGCTTTTAGCAAGGATACCAGTAGTGTCCACATTGGTGAATTCTTTAGTCCTTTAAATGTCTCTGGTTAAGGCATGGTAACACTGCAATCCCTTCATTTTCATTTCTCCATCCTGTCAGAATTATGGACACACATGCACACTTACCTTGCATGTTTTGCAAACCACTGGGGCTGGAGTTTGACACTTCTTTATTGAAACACTTTTCCCTCAGCTTTCAGGATAACATACTCACCAGGTGGCTCTCCTAGTTCATTGATCTTGCTCCATCTTTTGTTAATCTCTTCCCCCTCTTTCAACTTCTAGACACTGGCTTCCACCAGAACTCAGTCCTTGAACTCTTTCTTTCTCTTTTTCTTTCTTTCTTTCTTTCTTTCTTTCTTTCTTTCTTTCTTTCTTTCTTTCTTTCTTTCTTTCTTTCTTTCTTTCTTTCTTTCTTTCTTTCTTTCTCTTTCCTTTTTTTTTTTTTAGAGAATTTTGCTATAGGGTATATAAGGTATATGTGCTCAACAGAAAGATAGAGACAGAAAGTAAGAAATCACCCCCTGGGGAGATGGCCATGCTGAAATCCCTTCTCTTCCATTCTCCTCTTGGGATCTTGGGCATGCACACACACACATATAGCATGAATTTTAGTCTCCGGGCCCAGGTCTTTCACTGTAGTCGACTACATAGGAGTCCGGTGACATAACCATTATACCATCTGCTGGTCCCTTGAACTTTTTCATATACAAAAATACACACACACACACACGCACACATTTTCCAGGCAATTTTACGCAGTCCCTTGATTTGAAGTGCTGTCTGGATGTCAGTGACCTCACTTTGTTGTTGTTATAGGGAGTATGCACTTGTTAGAGGGAGATAGAAAGACATAGAAGGAGAAAGAGAGAGGTGAGAAATCACCTGTCCAGGGAGTGGTCACACCACAATCCCTTCTCCATTCTCTTGGGATTTTAGGCATATACACACACAAACACCTGGCATGATTTTCAAGCCGCCGGGTCAGGAACTCAAATCACTGTCACCTATGTGGGAGTCCAGCACCTTAACCAACATGCCACCTGGTGGCCCCAGACCTTCACTTTTTAAATCTTATTTTTAGCTCTGACCCTGTATCCAAGCTCCATATTTGAGTATCACACCCATCATTAAATTAGCAAGAGTGTCTCCTACGTGACTTCTTCATTTCAATGTCTAATAGGAAGTAAATATGGTCATAAGGAACCCTAGAGTGCCCCTCCACCCCATTGCTTCTCAAGCACTCCCCACCGCAGGTCTCCCCATATCGGTAACTGGTAACCACTAGTCATTCTGCCAGCTACTCAAGCCAAAAATATAGAAGTCATTTTTGTTCCACTTTCCTCACCACCTCATCTAATCCATTAGTAAGTCTTTTTGGCATCTGTCTCTAAAATATATTGGGTTGTCAGAAAAGTGATGACACATTTTTGAATAGAAAAATATGTCATGACTTTCCCAACAACCCAGTATCTCAAATAGATTCATTTCTCACCTTTTGCATAGCTTTGATGTGCATCCTAATCTAGGGCACCACATCTCTTAACTATTTTTCTTTTTTTTTTTTGAGAAGTTTTTGCTATAGGGTACATGCGCTCACCAGAAAGACAGAGAGACAGAGAGACAGAAAGTGAGAAATCACCCCCTAGCGGGGGAGGGGATGGTCACGCTGCAATCCCTTCTCCATTCTCCTTTCAGGATTTTGGGCATGCACACACATGCACCCTGCATATTTTAAGCTATTGGGTCTGGGATTTGAACCGTGGTCAACTACATGGGAGTCCAATGGTGTAACCATTACACCATCTGCTGGTTCCTCTCTTACCAATTTTGAACTAACTCCCCAATCTGCAGTTTCACATTCTGTGGTTGCAATTGACCAGAGTCAAGAGGGAGACCAAATTCATAACATTTTTATTATATTGTTATAATTGTTCTTTTTTATTGTTAGCTATTGTTGTTAATCTCTTACCATGCCTAATTTATACACTAAACGTTATCATAGGTATGTATGCATAGGAAAAAATGGCCTATTTAGGATTTGGTACTATTCTGCAATTTTAAGCATCCACTAGGGTTTTTGGAATGTATCCCCCCGGATAAGGGGAGATTGCTGTATATAATATATCACAGTTGACTATAGTCACCATGATATACAAGTCCCTTGAAGTTATTCATCCTATTTAATTGAAGGTTTTTATCTTCTGACCAACATTTTCCCACTCCTCCCCATCTCTTACTTTTTTTTTTCATGTAAATTTTTTATTCCTTTTGGAACAAAGCAAGCATGTGCATTCCTAGCTCCTTTTTTAAATTTTTATTTTTATTTACATTTTTTAATACGTTCAATCACATTATTTAGCTTACAAAGTGATCATTTCAATATATGAATATTTCTCCCTGTTCAAGGTGATCAAAATATAACACTACCTCCCTGTCTCAACAATGCTGTCTTCGTATCCCTTACTTTTAAAGGAGCTTCCTACATAGACTCTGCTTCCATCCTTGCTCCTCACTTTATTCTGTTTTCCACAAACAGACATAGCAATATTTTAAAAAACTACCATGTCACTCTCCTGCTTAAAACCACTTCATGTTTCACTCAGAATAAAATACCAACTCCTTATCATATACCCTACATGATCTGGCCCTTCCTATCGCTCAGACTTCATTTCCTACATGCTACCACTTGGTCACCCCACAGCAGCCACTCTAGCCTCTTTCGTTTTCTTTAAATAGGCAAAAAATCCTTGCCTGCTTCACTCTGCACTCACTGCTTCCTTTGCCTGAAATACTTTGCTCCCATGTCTTCATATGGTCATCATTCAGTTTTTATCTTAGATGTTACCTTCTCAGTAAGGCTTTTTTGATCACTCAGTCTCAGTTGCTCTTGTAGATAGGTGAAATGATCTGTTCTGTCGTCTAAGTGTTGATTATCTGTCTACCCCACCTGTGTATCTGTAAGATAGAAAAGAACAGTCACCTTATTTGCTGTGATCATATTGTATTCTGTGCTTCTAAAACAGAGTTTCATACAGCAGGAACTCCATAAATACTTATTAAATAAGGGAATAGTAAGGGCTCAATTTAACAACAATTACTGAGTCCTTACTAGGCTTAAGTTCTATGGTAGACACTGGGAATATAAAGAATTGGGTGTCGTGTACACCCTAGAAGTGAAACAAGAATCAGTTCATAGGTAATAGAAAGGTAAAAAAGTCCTTTATAATTTACTGATAACATGTATTATTGAGTTGTTGGGAAAGTCATGACTCATTTTGGCACAGAAAAATAGAAAAATACATCATGAGTTTCCTGATGACTTAATAGTTTCTCTTTCTTGGCAATATATGGATTCTCTTATGTATTATTTTTATTTCATTGGATGAATTTATAGGAGATGGAAGTTGCCAGGTGGAACTGAAAGGCAGTGGGAAAATGATTTAGAAATTGACTATGGAAAATGTCTCAGGTTATTTGAGGAGTTGAGCATGGAACTGAGTTTCCAAGCCAGAACAGTAGTCAGGAACACCAATCTTGAGACTGTTGTGCAATGGACGTGGTTTAATTTTTGTTATTCCTACTTCCCACCTAGCTACACACCCTTTTTCATTCCCTCTTTGGCGAGGGTTCTAAATCTCTTCTGCTCAGGAATGACTTCCTTTTTGTTCAAATCTACTAATAGGAGAGGATCTAAGACTCATGTTCACTAAGAAATCAATAGCTGCTATCAGAATTATCCTTGTCAGGGGTTTTGTACTTTTATTTATTTTTTACCCCTCCATAGACAGTGAGAAGGAAAGTGAGAAATCACCCCCTGGATGGAGACCGTGCTACAGTCCCTTCTCCTCCATTCTCCTGAGACATTGGGCATGTACACACATACATCTGATATGGCTTTCAAGCTGCCAGGTCTGGAACTTGAGCTGTGTTTGGCCATGTTGGAATCCAGGACACCAACCACCACGCCTTCTATTTGTCCCAGTTTTTATATTTTTAATAGGTATCAAAGTTGTATGCCACAGGTCTCTCATTTTTCTGTGAGGGAAAGGAATTAACATTACAGACAGGAAACTTTAAACTCATTTGAAATTAGAGGACTGTTAGTAAAGTCCCTTTGCTGATGAAGTTAGTGGAGTAGGTGGGGTTGAAGGAGGCAAAGAAGAACAAATGTTGATCAAAGTCTTGAATGAACACAGGAGCAGAATCACTGCTCATTGGGAAAACCATAAAACCTTAAAGAATGGGACAAGGTAGGTGAGAAATAGAACAGTGAAGATATATAAGATAAAGCTTAACAATATTGCAGTTAATGGCCTTTTCTCAAAGCTTA